ATCGCTAACGTACAGAGACGCCCATTGCCGCAGACCTACATCCACGTGCTGGACCGCTCGGGGTCGGATCACGGGGCCCAGGGACCCCAGTACTTCGCGGGGCCCATGGTGGTCTACCACCACGCCAACGCCTACGAGGACGACGAGGGCCAACACCTCGTGGTGGACGTGATGGCCTACAGCACGGATCAACTCTACTCCGCCTTCTTCTTCAGGGGGCCCAACGCTGTGGTCGGAAGCACCGGGGGCCCCCCCATCTCCTGCAGAGGCCTGCGCTACGTGCTCCCGCTGGGCCCGCGCCAGGTGAAGCCACGGGGCGGCAGGAGGACCCTCCTCGGGCGAAATAACAAAAAGGGGCATTTTTATTTAATTTTAGAATTTGGTTTAAACATAAAAAAAAAATCCCTCAATATTTGAAGAGTCACAATGCAGTGCGTGGTGATTACGAGACGGCGGTCCTCAATAAACGACGTCACGAAGCAGTCCAGAAGAGCGGCACGCGGCTCCGGAGCCCCGGGTTGACAACCCCTGACCTAGACCGCGGTCACCTCCTGTTCACAGCCCTGAGCCAGTGTTGGGAATTCCACATTTCTATGGCGGGAGAGAGTCTCTCAATAGGACAACCACTGATGACTTCCCCCACCGTGCTTGCATTAATAGGTGCTCGCTCGCAGCACTTTCCCCAACAGTCTGTTGAGGCTATACGGGGCTGTCTTTGTCTTTATCTGTGTGTGTATCCGTAAGTGTGTGTATGTGTTTGTGTGTTTGTATGTGCACATGTGTGTACGTGTGTGTGTGCACATGTAGCCCGCATGCCCAGCCACCGCATGCCGAAACAGCTTTTGTTCGGCCGGATCGAGGGGGCTAAACGGGCGCGGCACGGGCTAGAGAAGAGATGGAGTGATGTGGTACAGGAGGACGTGGAGCTGGGTGGACTTGCCGATGACCGGTACCAGCGGTGTCAAGATCGGCCTCTGTGGAGGAGGCTCGTGAAGGATGCTACTACTGGGCAGTTGGAGGCAGTCGCCCTCCAACAACAACAGAGGGCGGAGGAGCGATGCTCACAACAACGAGCGAAGTTCCGGGTGGCTAAAGCACAGCAGGTTGGCACAGTAGGGGGCACAGGTGGTGCATCAGCCAGTCATCTCGGTCATCTTAGTCAGTCGACCCGTGGCACTTGGGTCTGCCCCGTGACCTCCTGCCAGCAGGCGTTCGACACTTCACGTGGCCTCAAGGTGCACATGGCCTGGCACAAGCGTCGTGGTGACGTCACCGCCACTTAGTGGCGAATGGCGGTTGTTGTTGTATGTGTTTGTATGTGTGTGTTTGTATGTGTGTGTGTTTGTATATGTGTGTTTGTATATGTGTGTTTGTATGTGTGTTTGTGTTTGTATAATGTGCAGATGTTTTTGTGTCCGAATGTGCGTCTCTCTACGGGCTTGTGTTCGTCTGTGTGTGTTTATGAATCTGTGTGTGTTTATGAATCTGTGTGTGTGTTTATGAATCTGTGTTCGTCTGTGAATCTGTGTCTGTTTATGAATCTGTGTGTGCATCAGTGTGCCTCTGTACCTATCATTGTGTATTTGCATCTTCTGTTTCTGTATAAACATCAGCACTGGGAAGACAAAGGTGGACAGGTGTAGTGCTGTAACTTTGTGTGCTGGCCTTGCTGACAGCACTTTCTCTAACAGTCTGTTATAAAGGCTATATGTGGGGATCTTTGTTGTGTATCTGCAAGTTTGTGGGTTGGTGGCGTCAAGCGGTCGTTTCCTTTTGTTCTTCCGAGCCCAGGGAGCGGAGCTGGGATCGAACCTGGTGACGATGAGCGGAACCACGGCCCAGGCGCTGCTGCAGAAGAAGGGAAAGATCGAATGCATCCCCGAGGAACTCTTCCCTGGCGAGTTCTCCGATCTGCATCTCCAACTCCACCCTCAATCTCACCGCAATGCTGTGGTCACATCTGGGGTGGACCATCCAGTCCCCAGCTCACTGCTACACCCAATAGATTTCAAGATAAAGCAGCAGTCAGCTCTCGATGATTCACTCCAGTCACTCGCTCACTTACTAGCTGTAATTGGCATTGTTACTCCTCTATCACTACTAACATGGTTACTGTTCCCGTGAATTTCAGTCAACTGACTGTTTAGTCTCATCGACACTGATTTCAATCACCACACTACAGGTCGCAACAAATATCTTTCTGCGTCTGCCCTTGCACTTCTCAACTTTTGATTCCCTCCCATTGACTTTCTTTCCCCAAGCTCTTGTAACATAGCTCAAAGATGCGTGTTAAATCTTATCTATTAGAACATGAATAGTGATCTGTTGCTGTTCCTTCCCAACTTCCTCACTTATCCCTCTCCTCTCTCCTCCAGACATTGACCTTCCCTGTATCAACCCCCGCTACCATGGGAAGAAGTACCGGTACCTGTTCGCGATCCAGTTTGACGGCGGAATCACCAGCAAAAGAGTAAGGCGTGTGTGTGTGTGATCAAGTACAGCACCATGGACAGCGCTCATTGACTTCAGAACCATGGACAGTGCTCATTGAGTTCAGGAACCCTGGATAGCGCTCATTGACTTCAGGACCCTGAACAGTGCTCATAGAATTTATAGCCATGGATAGCGCTCATTGAGTTCAGGACCATGGACAGCGCTCATTGAATTTAGAGCCGTGGATAGCGCTCATTGAGTTCAGGACCATGGACAGCGCTCATTGAATTTAGAGCCATGGATTGCGCTCATTGAGTTCAGGACCATGGACAGCGCTCGTGCATTGTGAATACTTCACACACACGCACAAAAAATACGTTTGTAAGCACATGCTCATATATACAACGTTCTCACATGCACACGTACACACGAAAATAGACGCAGACGCTCATTTTCGCCGACAACAGCAGTTGGGGTAAGTGCCATTGGCGAGTTCTCGTTTAAGGCCTGCACATTACACGAGGGGGTGGTGTGGCCAGCATCACACCTTTGCCTCTCCAGTGCTGATGTTTATTTAGAAAGCTTGCGAAGTGAATTGTGGAGAGCTCGCTGGCAGGAGGCTGTGGGACAGATGCGGCTGTCGTGGATTATTCAAGGTGGATGGACCGCCTGTGCTGCCCACTGGGAGCGGCACACAGACACCGAGAGCAGTGCTGTGCTCTGGTCGTGCCGCAGATGGTGAAGCTGGACCTGGAGACTCGTGAGACCCGGCTCTGGGAGGCGGATAACGGGTGGTGCGGGGAGCCCGTGTTCGTGGCCAGCCCCGACGCCTCGGCGGAGGATGACGGTCAGTGACGGCCCCTGCAGCCCCGCTACCGCTACTCGACTCCATGTGTCCGCGTGTGTGGGCGTGACTGCGCCGGGGGTTGTGGGTAAACACCTGTGTGTGACTGTGAGGCTGTGTATGGGGAAACGGTAGTGCAGTGGTTAGCGGCACGGCGCCAGTAACCCTGCGGCCCCAGTCCAATGCTCTCTCATGACCAAGAACAGTGTTGAATATTTGAACCGGTCCTAGATCACTCATAGGTCGACGTGACCTTAAATGACCGACCACCTGGTGTGGTGTGAAAACAACACCATAGACCGGGTGTGGTGCTGGCCGCCCACTTACCCGTGTCCCGTGCCGACCTTCATAGTTGCTCGCCAACCTTACTCGTCCCAAGTCTGTTAAGGCTATATGGAGGATATGTCTTCGTGTGACTGTGCGTGTCTATGTGTGTGAGTGGGTATAAACTAGCGTTGTTAAACGCAAAAACCAGGAACCATTTTTAAGAATGTTATCGTTTCCGAAATTCAAGAACCGGTAACAGACTCCAATGGAACCTTAGTAACGAGTCCACCTACCGGCACTCGCAAATGTACAAACCGCACGGTAGCCCAAAGTCACCACATAGTATATTTGCCTTCGCTTCTCAGTTCAGAAGTAAAGGTGGAAGCCTTAAATGTATCGCTCGTGCCACTGCTTGCGAAATAACCTCCAACAGAGGGAGCTAAAGAGGGCAAGTGGTCTTCTCTTACACTCTGACCAGATGTGTTGAAAGAGATGGGCCCTACACAAACCTCACCAAGTGCGACCTGCCGATCGACTCACTGTGGCGTGCTCATTCGTGCTCCTGCTGGGTAGGCAGAGAGCAGGGGAGACCTCTGAATTGCGAGTTCAGTGTGCTCAACCATTTAGCACGCTGAACTTCCATCGTTTTTCAATTGAAAAGCTGAAAATTCCATGTTCATTGCTCTCAACATTACATGTGCGACTGTGTGGGTGAGTGCGTATACACCTGTGTGCAGGTGTGACTGCGTGGGTACACACCTCTGTGAATATGTGCGACTGTATGGCCGTATACTTGTGTGAAACGTGCTGCTGTGGACGAATGGAGGGCGTGCGACGGTAAGATGCGTTGCGATTGAGTGCTGCGACGTGCGCGTTCCTCCGGGCTGTCGCGTGATGGCGTAGTGTGCTGCTGCGGTGCGACGGCACGTGGTGACGGTGTGACGACGACGGCGTGGCGGGACAGTGTTGCGCCGTGGCAGAGGTGCGCCGTGCGTTGCTGCGCGACGCGACGTTACGTGACGACGGTGTTGCGACGGTGCTGCGACGGTGTTGCAGGCGTGCTGCTGTGCGTGACGGCGTCGCACGACGCTGAGCGCGGCGTGGACATCGTGGTGATCGACGCTCGCGAGATGAAGGAGCTGGGCCGCGCTCGCACCCCCTCCTTGCTCCCGATGGACATGCACGGCATCTTCATCCCCGACCACTCCGCCTAGCGACCACTCCTCCCCCTGCCCACCTGTACGACTGCAGCACCGAGCAACAAGCGTTCCGTTCGCTAGGCGGTACGATAATCTCAATGTAACGGACGACATTTAGCAAAACGGCCGATAGGAATATGGTGGACGTGACATCGCACGATATCTCCTCGTATCCCCATGTCGTGGCGGCCCTCGCGAGCAGTGGTGAGAGCTCAGCTGGGCAGCGAGACACCAAACCAGACAAAGATCACAGTCGCTCTTTTTGCGTTTTTTTTATTCTCACCGATCGCTACAAAAATCCTCAGAGGCTACAATTACGTCGCACAAATGTTCTTCACTCGGAAGCAATGGCGTCGTCTTCATCCGACGCGTGCGGATGAGGAGCGTTGCCACGCCACGTCACTGCCGGAGCCCGCTGCCCCGGCGCCAGCTACTTGCGCTCCCCCTTGCCAGTGCACGACTTGAGCAGCTCAACGGCCTCCTTCTGCACCTGGGGTGAGCGGGCGGGCGGGCGGGCGGGCGGGCGGGCGGGCGGGCGGGCGGCGGGAGAGCGTCAGTGCCTTCGGCACGCGCGATTATTCCGCATTCTCAGGTTCAATTCTATTCCTGCGTTGTGATGGCAATACGTTCAGGAGCTCGATGCCAATGTCGAGCTCGGCTGCCGGCAACGACGAGAGGGCTTCAGAAGAGAGGTGGTGTCGTTTTTTGCCGTTCCTCCTCCGTCGAAGGAGCGCAGGCTACAGTGGTTTACAGTACGCTCCATGGTTCTAGAGTGCGGTGAGTTGATGGTCTCAGCCCGGTCACCAATTACTTGATACGGAGGCCAAAATATTCGCGTGAAGAATCACAGACACGCATCGGAGAAGAAAAAAAACTCAACACATTCATCAGGAGCACCTTGCCTGGAAATAATAAAGATACAAACCGTGGCATTTCACACAATGGCCAATTATTCTCATAGCACTCTCAGCGAAAACACATACAGTTTCACGTCATTGCGATTGGACCATGTCGTTGTGGTTTTTCAAGTGGAGACAAGCTCTCAGCCCACTCTCGGGACATTTGCACGTGAAAAAAAGCACAACGTCAATTTGGTTCCGCTCCTGATTTGGCTAAATTCCAGCCGTAAGGATTAAAATATCCATTTCATCTGTCACGTGATGAACGTGACGAACGTGACGGACGTGACGGACGTGACGGACGTGATTCTCTTCGGCAGGGTAGGTGCGTAAAGTGCTGCTCCTCGCCCCCCCCCCCTCGCTCGCTTGGAGGGATCTCAGACGCGGCTCTGCAACGTCCAATTCCGCGGGGCCTTTCTCTTAACACGAAGGGTCGCGCTGCTCTGCGGGAGTTCCCGAATGGATTCTCCGTCTCGTGATGGCGACGCCGAGAGCAACAGACGGGACACAACGTGGGGGGAAATGATTAAAATAAAAATAAAAAACTTCCGTCGTGACAAAGAGACACACACGCGCGCCCCCAACCTGGGCATCCTCGTCGGTACGAGCCGGGAAGTCGCGCGCCTTGGTGAGCCACAGCAGCGCCCCGCGCACGTTCCCCAGGCGCAGCTGCGTCTTCCCCAGCATCAGCATGTTCTTGCTGTAGAAGCTGGGCTCCACTGGGACAGAACGGCCAACGCGGGGTCAGTTGGGAAACAAGCCGCGCCCCCACGCAGGGATTCTCCCCGAGACGTTCCAACGTGCGTTTAGGCCGCGGCTATGGAAGCCTCCCAAGTATTGGGGCAATCGTTTGATGAACAAAGAGTCCCACATAGCAACACAACTTGATGTGAAAAGTTGACGGGCACGAACGGACGGCCACTCATACGTTGACTGTTCAGTTCATATTTGACGTCCGTTACAAAACTGGCCAATCACAGGGAGTTTTGCGTGCTTAATTTGCGTGCGGTGTTATCTAAAACTTTGGTTTTCCTGGCAGGGTCAATAAAAACTCGGCGTATAATGATTCACAAATTAAAATCGATTCTTACGAGTATGATTCGTGCCTCGAATTTATCCGTGAAATTACATTTGTTTGTATCCGTAGACGTATGCAGGTGGGTTATCATGCACCCTGCAGCCACGACAGGTGCTACAATCTCCGCATCGCGAAACAAAACATCTTGAATAAATTAATCACCTCAAATAACAACAAACCATTTGCACCGCAGGCAAAACTGTTACATCCCCAGTGAAAAAACCACAGGGCTCTCACAAATGTAGCCAGGTGCGGGGATACCTTGCTCGGCTTCACTGAAATACTGGAGTGCCTGGAAAACACAGCGGGGGACATCGAGTCACACGCGGCCCTCCCTCCGCGTGCGGCACGCCGCCGAGCGCGGCACACCGATGGCAAAGTCGCGACGCTTCTCGCAAACCGCCGGCGCCGCGTCGCGGCCGCTACCTCGTAGAAGGTGGCGCTGGGGGGGGAGGCGAACAGCACGGCGGCGATCCGCCGCTGGTACCACGGCATCTCGGCAAACGTGAAGCACCTGGGGTGTTGTGCGCGCACACGGGCACACGAGCGGACGGACGGAGGAACGCACAGACGGACGATATTGATGGATGGATGGATGCACAAAGGGGTGGAACGATGAACAGATTGATGGATGAAGGGATGGATGGACAGACGGATGGATGGACAGATGGGTTGACAGATTGAAGAACAGGCATATGGGCAGATTAACTCATGGACAGAGGTACTTCATTATTGAGCCTTCACCATAACCGTAGGGGGTCTGCTTTTGGAATTTCACGTGAAGTAAGCGTAAATTGTTTTTTAGCAGTGATAATCATTTGCCTGTTAAAGAACTCAACAGCACTTGCCCCAACGGTCTGTTCAAATCTACACGGAGGATGCGTCTCACCATAATCCCATGAGGTGGAGCGACGTGGGGTCTCTGGGGTTCAGCTCGATGGCTTTCTGTGGCGGAGAGGGAAAGGAGGGGGTGTTAGCCGCGGCGCCCGTCTGCCGGTGTGCCTCGTGCCCCCCCGTGTGGGTCGTTGGCTTACCTGGAAGTGCTCCTTTATCACAAACGCGTTTGCGATCTTCACCTTGATTCCCTCAAAGTCGCCCACGTCGCTCACGCAGATGGCGTACCACTGCGCGCAGATGGGAGAGGAATTTAAACTTCAGCGAAGTTAAAATTCCATCGTCAATGCAATAACTGGCATTCTAAGATCACTAGGCCAGACGTGAACCATCAATGCCGTTTGTTAAGAGCACAAAGCGTCATAGCAAAACCGCAAAGCATCATGGGATTCCCGCAAAGCAACATGGGATTTGAACCGTGAACCACTGCAACAAACTGACAGAAGTGCTACCACGCTAGAGCGTTGATTTTCAGAGCGTTGCAATTGATTTATTGTCGCCCCATTTGAATTGGCGGTTCCTTTTCCCTGTGGCCCCGAGGCCGCACCTTGTGGCAGGCGAAGCTGCTTGGGTTCTTGTCGAGCGCTCTCTTGGCAGCGTCCAGGGCCTCGTACGCGAGCCGCCGGCGCTCCTCGGTGGTCGTGCCGCTCCGCTGGGCCAGGTCGCGCGCCGCTCGTGCCAATCGCCAGAGCACCTCGTCGCTGTCCATCCTGGGGGGACAAGCACGACAAGCCCTCTCTCGCCGTCACACTCGTGCGTCTGTGTGTGCGTCTCTCTCCGTCTCTCTCCACCTCTCTGAATCCCCCCTTGTCTCCGTCTCTCTCTCTCTGTCTCGCCACAGAAGCAGCCGTGAGTGTAATGCACGTGCAAATGTGTGTGCGTGCGCGGCGGCGAGCGGTGTAGTGGTTAGCGTGCTGCGCTACGGACCCGGCGGCCCGAGTTCAATTGGCGTTCACGGCCAACGCCATTAATGGTTATCTGAACTGGTCCTGGGTCTCCTCTAGGTCGACTCTGCCTCAAATGAGTACCTGGTGCGGCGTGTAAAAACATCGCCACTAGAGAGACAAAGACGGCCGGGCGTGGTGCTGGCCACCCATCCCCTCGTGTGCCGTTCAAGCCTTCATAGGTGCTCGCTAACAGCACTAGCCCCAACAGTCTGTTAAGGCTATACAGGGCATCTCTGTCTCGGTGTTTAGGTGTGTACACGTGGGTGTGTGTTTGGGGAGCAGTAGCATCGTGGTTTATGCATCCTGCTGCGATGCCAGCGGCATTCCTCTGTCGGCCCGGAGTTTAATTCCGGGCCGACAGAGGAACGGAGGAAGCCAACGTCAATAGTGGTTGTGTACGCGTAGAAGTCCTTGGTCAATCTACTGCTGGATGAGGGCTTCCCCAATGCCTGTGTGTGTGGGTACGTCGGGGTTAATACGACCGTACTGCACCACACTGGTCAGTGCACGCCGATTAAAGCGGGGACACGCAAATGTGGGAGTGGAGGAGCACTGCACAACTCTAGGTTTAGCTGCACCTTCCTCTTCTGCCCACCATGTGTGAGCCCTGTGGTAACCTATAGCAACCTGCAACCTAGAGTCACCTGTGGTAACCTATAGCAACCTGCAACCTATAGTAACCTGTGTAAACATATAGCAACCTGCAACCTAGAGTCACCTGTGGTAACCTATAGCAACCTGCAACCTATAGTAACCTGTGTTAACATATAGCAACCTGCAACCTAGAGTCACCTGTGGTAACCTATAGCAACCTGCAACCTATAGTAACCCGTGTTAACATATAGCAACCTGCAACCTAGAGTCACCTGTGGTAACATATAGCAACCTGCAACCTATAGTAACCCGTGTTAACATATAGCAACCTGCAACCTAGAGTCACCTGTGGTAACCTATAGCAACCTGCAACCTATAGAACCCGTGGTAACCTATAGCAACCTGCAACCTATAGTAACTCGTGGAACCTATAGCAACCTGCAACCTATAGTAACCCGTGGTAACCTATAGCAACCTGCAGCCTATAGTAACCCGTGGTAACCTATAGCAACCTGCAGCCTATAGTAACCCGTGGTAACCTATAGCAACCTGCAACCTATAGTAACCCGTGGTAACCTATAGCAACCTGCAACCTAGAGTCACCTGTGGTAACCTATAGCAACCGCTTGGTCCTCGACGGTGGTCACCCATTCTCAGGACTGTCCAGGCTCATCCTGCTTAGCTATCTATACTTTGCACTCCTGTATTGTTGTTATAACTTTCTGACCCACTCTAGCTGGAGATCTGTGAAACAGAGATTTATAGCTAATCGGATTCCTCTGGTATAAATATTTTGATTCTGATTTCGAGGTCTGGGAGCCGACGCATCCCCAACCCCCCTCCCGGTGATTTGGTCACAAACGAAATAATTGCCAAAATGCAACCGACACGTTCTCTTGCACAACGCAATTTGCGCAGGCATCGGCATTAACCGATGGATCGATGGACCGTCGCGTTGCGTGGCAACGGCAGAGAGCGCCGGCGCTGCGCTCGTCACCGGTCCGCCTGCTCCTTGAGCAGCAGGTAGAGCTTCTCGGACTCCAGCGTGCCGTACAGGTAATCCGCCCGCTCGATGAGCTTCTCCAGCGCGTAGTCTGGACACACGGTGTCGTCGCAGCGCGCGGGCACAGAGGGAAGGTTAAAGGTCGAACTCAACCCGGCAGCGCGAGGCGGCGGCGTCGTCGCGGCGAGGGCGGAGGTGAGCATGGGCACGCGGGCTCAATCGGCGTCAACACGGAGGTGTGTTTTGGAACTGGAGTCTGCAACCTCCTGCCCGGGGGACGCAAGCGGCCCGTGCGAAGCAGGCAGCCCGGGGGACGCAAGCGGTCTGTGCGGCATAGTTTTGGCGGGCCAGCAAACTATCGCTGAACAACTTGGCGGGCAGTCCGCCAGCAACGCGCAGGGCGACGTCACATTTACAAACGTCGTGGCTCTTGGGGGACTTTTCGTATTCCCAATATGGCCAGCGCTTGAAAAAGCTATCACCAGAGTGTGAACACAGCTTTAATTTGCGTGAACATGCCGGATGCTTCACAGATGTGGAAACACACGGGGGAGCCCACTTGCAGCACGTCGCCCTGAAAAGTGGTCGCATTTAAACGCTGTGACGTGAATCCACGCCGCGTTCGATTTGCACAACTTCCAACGTTCCCACCCGGGCGAGCCGCGCCGCTCCCGTGTCTCCCGCTCACCTGAGCCGCTGGTGGCTTGGGCGGCCGCAAGGGGAGGCCTCTGCATCTGGACCCCGGCCCAGCCGGCCACACCGCCAAGCAGGGCCCACCGGAGGCCACGCACAACGCCAGGGCTGTTGGGACACGCACGCACGCCGTGACGCTACGCACGCATTCGGGCCTCTTCACAGATTCAACAGCAGCTGCTGCCATTCGCCACTCGGTGAAAGTGATAATGCCACGGTGCTCGTGCCAGGCTTAGGTGCGCTTTGAGGCGACATGAAGTGTGGAAGGCTCGCTGCTGGCAGGTCACTATGACAGGACCTGCGTTACGTGGTGACTGCCTTGAGATGTCCGTACCCAGTGATTCTCGTCACCACCCTGCTTCTGCACCATCGCAATGCCACGGCTGGTGGATGCAGAGCTTCTGGGGACTTGGGGCCCATGGTGATGCGGCGCGTTGTTTGACAGTGCAGGTTGGTGACGGGCGCATATTTCAAATGGCCGAGTCCCTTGGCACGGGTGCCTCACTATTCAAGTGCTGTAGCTACTCAGCTGTGCACACGAGCCTCTGAAGAAGCTGCCAGGACGTGGAGCGAAACGTCGGACATCGCGGCGTTGGACACGCGGGCACAACCCGAACAAAAAAAAAACGGGAAGCTGCGTTGGTAGCTGGCAAGCAAGGCGAGACGGACGGTGGTGGGGCTCTGGAAGGTTTGGCGTTGTGTGGAAGTCGTCGGGGATTGCTTACCCGCACAATCTTGACAGCCCCGCAGCTGCAGCAACTCCTGCAGGGGTCGCCCACACTCGGCACGTGGCGGCCGTCAGCACCGAACCCTCGCACCTCCGGGCTCCCCCCTGTAAGGGACACACGGTCAGACAACCCATCATCATCACACACGTCCAGACAACCCATCATCATCACACACGTCCAGACAACCCATCATCACACACGTCCAGACAACCCATCACCATCACACACGTCCAGACAACCCATCATCACACACGTCCAGACACCCCACTCATTATCACACACGTCCAGACACCCCACTCATCATCACACACGTCCAGACACCCCACTCATCATCACACACGGCTAGACAACCCACTCATCATCACACACTTCCAGACAACCCATCGTCATCATCACACACGTCCAGACAACCCACTCATCACACACATCCAGACAACCCACTCATCATCACACACTTCCAGACAACCCATCATCATCATCACACACGTCCAGACAACCCCATCATCATCATCACACACGTCCAGACAACCCATCATCACACACGTCCAGACACCCCACTCATCATCACACACGTCCAGACACCCCACTCATCATCACACACGTCCAGACACCCCACTCATCATCACACACGTCCAGACACCCCACTCATCATCACACACGTCCAGACACCCCACTCATTATCACACACGTCCAGACAACCCACTCATCATCACACACGTCCAGACAACCCATCATCACACACGTCCAGACACCCCACTCATCATCACACACGTCCAGACACCCCACTCATCATCACACACGGCTAGACAACCCACTCATCATCACACTTCCAGACAACCCATCATCATCATCACACACGTCCAGACAACCCACTCATCATCACACACGTCCAGACAACCCACTCATCATCACACACTTCCAGACAACCCATCATCATCACACACGTTCAGACAACCCACTGCATGACCACACACAGTATAAGGAGGAGGGGTTAGTATGTTTGATCTGGCAGCATGCACTGCGTGTGTAATGCTGCAGCTGGTGAGCTGTATGTGAACGGATGTGCGGTTTAACACAAGTGACGTCATCACATCTATCCCTCTATTTAAGGAAAACAGAATTTCTCCACAAATCTGGCTGTCCACCTGATGAGGCTGGTTGTAATTACTGACGAAAGATCATACTAAGATTGTAAATGTTGTGGCTAGGCTCTCCAACACACCGGTATGCTGTACTAGTATACTACAATATACACTACACTATACACTACTACACACTAGTGCTGTACTAGTAACGAATTGACACGTTCTGTTTACGTGACAAACCTTACTGATTAGCTGTGTCGGGTGGTGGCGGGTTTAACGACACATTTACATTCACGCGATCTAACAAACAATATGGATGTGCCTGCCTGAACGTCCAATGCGACTCTGAATAAACCAACGCCGTGTCCCTGGCCATGTGCTCCGAGTTAACGTAGCACTGTGGCTCAATTCAAGCTAATGCAGAACGCGGATGATGGCTAGCAATGCATAGCTGTCAACCCATACGGTTTACCCCGTATTCTTGTGCAGGGAAATTGAGTTTTCAGGTCCATACGGCGCACAGACGTTTCAGTACGGGCAACATTTTTTTTCTGTCTGTTTCTCCCTTGTGATGGGACTTTGTAGGATGAACGTTGAGATTTATAATGGTACGGGGTGACCAATACGGTGTGAATTGGTCTGTAATAAGGTAGGGCACTGATAAGGGGTTGACAGGTTTGTTAATAGCGTGCCACTGTGACTCAATCCAAGTTTTAGAAGCACACGGATCATGGCTCCATCATCATCAATGAGCTTCTCCAGTCAACACGTGACGACACCACAGCCAATCCGAGCAAGGCTGCTGCCATGTTGGGTGGGTGAACCTGGACGACACCGCCGCCATGTTGGGTAGGGAGACCCGCGTGCTTCAAGCTAGCAGCGATAACGAGGTGAAGGGTGGCGCAGCGGTGCTCCACCGTGCTCCAGCCAGGCTCTCGGTGCCCCTCACAGCGAGCACAGACCGCGTGTGTAGCAAGTGCGAGCGCGCCGCGTCTGTCTCGCGCCGTCGAGACAGCATAGGCGCTCTCTGTCTCCACTGTCTCTCTGTCTTACTGTCTCTCTGTCTCCACTGTCTCTCTGTCTCTCTGTCTCCACTGTCTCTCTGTCTCTGTCTCCACTGTCTCTCTCTGTCTATCTGTCTCACTGTCTCACTGTCTCTCTGTCTCCACTGTCTCTCTGTCTCTCTGTCTCCACTGTCTCCACTGTCTCTCTGTCTCTCTGTCTCACTGTCTCCACTGTCTCTGTCTCCACTGTCTCCACTGTCTCTCTGTCTCCACTGTCTCTCTGTCTCCACTGTCTCTCTCTCTCTCTGTCTCACTGTCTCCTGTCTCTCTGTTTCCACTGTCTCACTGTCTCCACTGTCTCTCTGTCTCACTGTCTCTCTGTCTCCACTGTCTCTCTCTGTCTCACTGTCTCTCTGTCTCCACTGTCTCCACTGTCTCTCTCTCACTGTCTCTCTGTCTCACTGTCTCTCTGTCTCCACTGTCTCTCTCTTGTCTATCTGTCTCTCTGTCTCACTGTCTCTCTGTCTCCACTGTCTCTCTCTGTCTCACTGTCTCTCTGTCTCCACTGTCTCTGTCTCCACTGTCTCTCTGTCTCTGTCTCCACTGTCTCTGTCTCACTGTCTCTCTGTCTCCACTGTCTCTGTCTCCACTGTCTCTCTGTCTCCTCTGTCTCTCTGTCTCCACTGTCTCTGTCTCCACTGTCTCTGTCTCTCTGTCTCCACTGTCTCTCTGTCTCCTCTGTCTCTCTGTCTCCACTGTCTCTCTGTCTCCACTGTCTCTCTGTCTCCACTGTCTCTGTCTCCACTGTCTCTGTCTCCACTGTCTCTCTGTCTCCACTGTCTCTCTCTCACTGTCTCTCTGTCTCCACTGTCTCTCTGTCTCCACTGTCTGTCTCCACTGTCTCTCTGTCTCCACTGTCTCCACTGTCTCTCTGTCTGTCTCCTCTGTCTCCTCTGTCTCCACTGTCTCTCTGTCTCCACTGTCTCACTGTCTCTCTGTCTCCACTGTCTCTCTGTCTCCACTGTCTCTCTGTCTCCACTGTCTGTCTCACTGTCTCTCTGTCTCACTGTCTGTCTCTGTCTCCACTGTCTGTCTCACTGTCTCTCTGTCGCTGTCTCTCTGTCTCCACTGTATCTCTGTCTCACTGTCTGTCTCTCTGTCTCCACTGTCTCTCTGTCTCCACTGTCTCCACTGTCTCTCTGTCGCTCTGTCTCTCTCTGTCTCACTGTCGCTCTGTCTCCACTGTCGCTCTGTCTCACTGTCTCTTTGTCTCTCTCTGTCTCACGGTCTGTCTGTCGCTCTGTCTCTCTCTCTGTCGCTTTGCCTCTCTGTCTGTCACTGTCTCTCTCTCGCTCTGTCTGTCGCTCTGTCTCTCTCTGTCTCCACTGTCTCTCTGTCTCCACTGTCTCTCTGTCTCCACTGTCTCTCTCTCGCTCTGTCGCTCTGTGTCGCTCTGTCTCTTTCTGTCTCTCTGTCTCCACTGTCTCTCTGTCGCTGTCTCCACTGTCGCTCTGTCTCTCTCTCTGTCGCTCTGTCTCTCTGTCGCTCTGTCTTTCTCTGTCGCTCGCTCTGTCTCTCACTGTCTCTCTGTCTCTCGCTCTGTCTCTCTCTGTCTCTCTGTCTGTCCGCCTGTCCGTGGAGGACATCGCGGCCGCGAGTCTCGGGACCCCCCCCCCGCCCCTCCTCGGCCCCAGGACTACGCAGGCCCCGGCAAGGCGCTGGCGTCTCCCGCACTCGGCCACTCACGGGAGCCGGGCCCCGCCGGAGACCCTCGACCGCCCTCGCCACGAGCCGGGCCCGCGCGCCTCCTCCTCCTCCTCCAGCCCGACAGCACCGCGACACGGGGGTCCAACTCATGACGCCAACTCGGTGGCGGTGGCGAGAGACGAGCGGCGGCGAGAGGCGACGGGCGGGAGGAGTCTGGGCAATGTCCGCCTCGAGGGTGGGGGGGGGTGGCCGAGTCCCGGTTCCAATTGGGTCAGGGTGCACACGTGTGTTGGTGTGTGTGTATGTTGTGTGTATGTTGTGTGTGTTGGTGTGTGTGTGTTGGTGTGTGTTGTGTGTGTGTTGTGTGTGTGTGTTGTTGTGTGTGTGTTGGTGTGTGTGTGTGTTGTGTGTGTGTTGGTGTGTGTGTGTTGGTGTGTGTTGTTGTGTGTGTGTGTTGGTGTGTGTTGTGTGTGTTGGTGTGTGTTGTGTGTGTGTTGTTGTGTGTTGGTGTGTGTGTGTTGGTGTGTGTGTGTTGGTGTGTGTGTGTTGGTGTGTGTGTGTTGGTGTGTGTGTGTTGGTGTGTGTTCGGCAAAACAACCCCCTACCTCCTCGCGGTGCCGGACGGGCAACTCTGTCGTGGACAGCGCTGTGGGGGGAGATCCAATTTTGATTGGCTCCTCCCCTCATGGCATATGTGTCCACCACAGGGGCTAAACGGGGGCTCTGGACGGGTGCGAGGGGCTGGTAACCCCTCCACCTTCAATTAATTACCACGAAACTACGAATTAAACTGAAATATGTAACAACTAAGCTTGTGCCGGAGGCCCCGGGGGGCCAGGCGTCTATGACGTCTCCTGGCCAAACCCCAATTGGCGGAGCCAGGAGATTGAATACCTACCCTCGGGGCTACTCCAGAAACAACGAAAAGCCACTACGGTTGGCCACGTGGAATGTTCGAACGCTCACTGCAGAGGAGAGGCTGCCACTCCTCTGTCGGGAGCTGGACCGGCACCGCCTGGATCTATGCGGCATTCAGGAGGTCCGGTGGACCGGCTCTGGCTCCTGCCACCATGAGGGGTGGACAGTCCTCTACTCGGGGCAGCAGACTGCCAAACAACAGGGTGTGGGTCTTCTTTTGAACAAAAGAATGAAGGGGGCGTGGGAGCGTGGCGGTGAGGTGTGGGAAGCTGTAAGCCCCAGGCTACTTTGGGCTCGCCTTCCCATCAACCGGAGGCGAGGAATGGTGGTCGTGGTTACTTATGCCCCCACCGAAGATGAACATCCGTGGAGGGATGCAGGCAAAGCCGATGAGTCAGATGCCTTCTATGACCTCCTGTCACAGGTGCTGGCTAAAGTGGCCCCTCGGGATAGAGTCATCATGTTGGGTGACTTCAATGCCCGAGTTGGTCATGATACTGGCACCTGGTCTGGAGTGATTGGAGGGCATGGGCCAGATCAGCTCAATAACAACGGTAGGAGGCTGCTAGATTTTTGTGCAGCCCATGGGCTTGTAATTGCCAGCACGCTGTTCCGGCGTCGGCGCATCCACACAACATCATGGATGCATGCCGGGTCCGAGCGGGAACGTCTGCTGGACTGCATGGTGACGGACCAGCGAATGCGAGCCCATGTCCTTGACACCAGGACCTACCGTGGAGCTGATCTGCCCTCTGACCATCGACTAGTCATCTGTAAGATGCGCCTGCCATTCTTCCACTCCGGTGGTGGGTGTACACCCAGGACCCCATTCCAACCTAAAGTGGCCTGGTCTCAGTTATCTGATGAAAGTTGCAAGCGAGAATTTCATCATCGCTTGCGGCTGGGATTGGCATCGTCCCCGACTCCTCCTGATGTCGAGGGTAAATGGGCGAGGTTTAGGACTGTGACTCATGCAGCTGCAATGGCTGCTTTGGGTACGCGGTCCAGACCTCCCCAGACACCCTGGATGACAGAGGAGTTGTTCACGATGGTTGAGAAAAAGCGACAGGCCCACTGTCATCGGCTACAGAATTCCACGTCAGAGAATGAGGAGGCTTACCGCAGCCTTCGCTCGGAGGTTCGGAGAGCCGTGAGGCGCTGCAAGGATGGGTGGTGGTCGCGTGTTGCTGAGGAGATGGAGTCTGCCTCAGTGGCCCGTGATCATAAATCTCTATTTAACTCCCATCAAAAAAGTAACCTGCAGCGCCACACCTATTACCATCATTAGGGGAAAAAACGGTGATCCAATTTCCGACCCCCAGGAACAGGTTCGCAGATTTGCTGAGCATTTCTGTGAGGTCCTGGGGGAGGGAAAATCCCTCAGCCAGGAAAACATCGTGGCACAAAGTGAGGATGACCCTGCTGAGGCTGCGGTGCCTCAAATATTGGATGAAGTCACCCCCTGTGAGTGGCTGGGTGAGGTGCCATCTGCTGAGGAAGTATTGAAGGCGATCCGGAGTCTGAGACCAGGAAAGGCAGCGGGCAGAGATGATCTCCCAAGCGAAATGCTGAGGGAGGGTGGCGTTTGTGCACAGACTGCCCTATATGACATCATAACAACGGTCTGGACCACTGGACGGGTTCCGCAGGATTGGAAGGATGCCCTGGTGGTCCCCCTTTTCAAGAAGGGGGACCGCACAGACTGTAACAACTACAGGGGCATCTCACTCCTCAGTGTGCCGGGAAAGGTCCTGGCAAGGATTATTCAGCATCGCCTTGCCAGGCACGCTGAGGAGAGGCTTGCGGAGCCCCAATGCGGTTTCAGGAAAGGGCGGTCCTGCACAGATGCCATATTTTCTGTCCGTCTGCTACAGCAGAGGTGTAGGGAATTCCAACAAGACCTACATCTCTGCTTTATTGACCTGGTCAAGGCCTATGATACCATCAGTAGGCCTGGGCTCTGGGTCGTTCTTCGTGCTTTTGGAGTACCTGACCCTCTGCTCACGATCATTAAGGACCTTCATGATGGTGAGCGGGCCCGGGTAAAACTACGTGGCCGGGAGTCAGAGCCATTCCCTGTACACCTTGGGGTGCGACAGGGATGTCCTCTGGCTCCCACATTATTTAACATCTATTTTGACCACGTAGTTCGTGAAGCCTTCAATAGCTGTACCGGGGGAATCTCCATATGGTACAGATATAATGGGAGGCTAATCGATGCCCGGGTGCGGTCAAGGGATGGCTCCCTATTGCTCAACCACGTTATGTATGCTGATGACTTGGTAATAGCTGCTCAGTCAGAGGAGGAGTTGGAGACGCTGCTGCTGAGACTGGAGCGTGCCACTAAGAGGTGGGGCCTTACCATCAGCCCCACCAAAACTAAGCACCTGCCTGGGTATTTTGTACCATCGGACACTCCACCCCCACAACTCCCAATCGGTGATGGGGCAGTTGTGGAGAGAGTGGAGAGTTTCCCATACCTGGGCAGTGTGCTTATGACTGGCTCCAGTTTAACAGCAGAGGTCTCACTCCGAATCAGTCGAGCGGCAATATCTTTTCATCGGTTGCGTAACGCTGTGTGGAAGCTACCTGGTCTGTCGCTCCGCACTAAGCTTCAGGTCTTCTCGGCCACGGTCATTCCCTCCCTTCTCTACGCTTGCGAAACGTGGACCCCCCTAGTGGAACATCTTCGCCGGTTAGAAACATTTAGGCTGGCCTGCCTGCGGTCCATCCTGGGTTTAGCCAGACTGGATTGTGTGGGGGGCTCACAGGTCCTTGAGGGATCTGGGCGGGGTCCCATCGGTGGGCTCCTCCGGCGGGCGGGGCTGCGATGGCTGGGTCGTGTGGCCCGCATGCCCAGCCACCGCATGCCGAGGCGGCTTTTGTTTGGCCGGGTTGGGGGGGCTGGGCGGGCGCGGCACGGGCTAGAGAAGAGATGGAGTGATGTGGTACAGGAGGACGTGGAGCTGAGTGGACTTGCCGATGACTGGTACCAGCGGTGTCAAGATCGGCCTCTGTGGAGGAGGCTCGTGAAGGATGCTACTGGGCAGTTGGAGGCAGTCGCCCTCCAACAACAACGGAGGGCGGAGGAGCGACGCTCACAACAGCGAGCGGAGCGCCGGGTGGCTAAAGCACAGCAGGTTGGCACAGTAGGGGGCACAGGTGGTGCATCAGCCAGTCATCTCAGTCAGTCGACCCGTGGCACCTGGGTCTGCCCCGTGACCTCCTGCCAGCGGGCGTTCGACACTTCACGTGGACTCAGTGTGCACATAGCCTGGCACAAGCGTCGTGGTGACGTCACCGCCACTTAGTGGCGAATGGCGGTTGTTGTTGTTGTTGTTGTGTTGGTGTGTGTGTGTTGGTGTGTGTGTGTTGGTGTGTGTGTGTGTTGGTGTGTGGGTGTGTTGTGTGTGTGTGTTGGTGTTGTGTGTGTTGTGTGTGTGTGTGTTGGTGTGTGTGTGTTGGTGTGTGTGTGTTGTGTGTTGGTGTGTGTTGTTGTGTGTGTGTGTTGGTGTGTGTTGTGTGTTGGTGTGTGTTGTGTGTTGGTGTGTGTTGTGTGTTGGTGTGTGTTGTGTGTTGGTGTGTTGGTGTGTTTGTGTTGGTGTGTGTGTTGGTGTGTGTGTTGGTGTGTGTGTTGGTGTGTGTTGGTGTGTGTTGTGTGTGTTGTTGTGTGTGTTGGTGTGTGTTGTGTGTTGGTGTGTGTGTTGGTGTGTGTTGGTGTGTGTTGTGTGTGTTGTTGTGTGTGTGTGTTGGTGTGTGTTGTGTGTTGGTGTGTGTTGTGTGTTGGTGTGTGTTGTGTGTTGGTGTGTGTTGTGTGTGTTGTTGGTGTGTGTGTGTTGGTGTGTGTTGGGTGTTGTGTGTTGGTGTTGTTGTGTGTGTGTAGGTGTTGTGTGTTGGTGTGTGTGTTGGTGTTGTGTGTTGGTGTGTGTGTGTGTTGGTGTGTGTTGGTGTGTGTGTTGTTGTGTGTGTGTTGTGTGTGTGTGTTGTTGCGTGTGTGTTGTTGTGTGTTGTTGTGTGTTGGTGTTGTGTGTGTTGGTGTGTACGTGTTGTTGTGTGTGTGTGTTGGTGTGTGTTGTTGTGGGTGTGTGTGTTGGTGTTGTGTGTGTTGGTGTTGTGTGTGTTGGTGTGTGTGTTGTGTGTTGGTGTGTGTGTTGTGTGTGTGTTGTGTGTGTGTTGGTGTTGTGTGTGTGTGGGTGTGTTGGTGTGTGTGTGTTGGTGTGTGTTGGTGTGTGTGTGTTGGTGTGTGTGTGTTGGTGTGTGTGTGTTGGTGTGTGTGTTGGTGTGTGTGTGTTGGTGTGTGTGTGTTGGTGTGTGTGTGTTGGTGTGTGTGTGTTGG